AATGAAGAAAACCAATACATTTTAGAGGAATCTAATGAAAAGAAGTTAGTGTAGCAGCTATTTCACAGTCATAAGTCTAATGATTAATTAATGATGGGAGAGTAGTAAAAATTAAAGCTATAGCAAATCATAGAGGAATGATTTGTTGGTGCCTGAGTGATTAAAAGTGGTAGGTGAAATTCAGCATCGATGAATGTTGAGTGAGTGCATGGGAGAAAAACCTCTCATCTTTATGTACTTGTCTTGTTGAATGTTGAACTACCTTTGATTTATAATACCTAGTTTTGTGAAAGAATGAATTTAGTACACAGTGACTATAAAAATTAACCAGATATTTCAGTTAATAACTTTAATGAAGAACAGAACAGGAAACATTGTACTGCATTGTGTACTTATGATGTGCTTACAACATAAATATTATTTGTAGTTTTCCCCTGATTCAAAAAGTATGTAGAGAAATAAAAAAGCACTTGGGGGTGGTGCTGATGGGAACTGGTATAGCTGTCATACAAGAATAATTGGAAGAGAGATGACCGAGGGAGAAATGATGGAAGTGTGTAAAGCTGTGTCTTGGGGTAGGTGGATAAACTTTAGTCATTGTTCCTTTGTGACTGAAGAATGACAAGCTCAAAATGAGGTGCACTTTTACATGTCCTGTAGGTGGTAGAATTCATATCTATATGGTGTGGTAAATGCAAGAGGTTAAAACAGGTACAGAAAATGTTTAGACAAAATCACTGAAGAAAATTCTGGCTAGAGCTGTTAAGTATGGCAGTGCCATTTCTGGCTCAGAAATACACCAGAGAAGTACTGCCATATGCTGGACTTGTTCATATCCACTTTCCTAGACATCGTTATCATCATCTCTGGAGGCAGTGTATGAGTCCAGACTGACTTTTGATTTCGCTCCATATATCTATTCTTTTGAAACTTCTAAGTGTGGTGTAGTAATGAACGAAACCAAGCCAACAGAATATGTGGAAATGTTGGTTTCGTATGGAAGAACTCGCTCCCAATTGTAATGGCTCCCTAGTATGTCTCTCTTTAATTTCAGGATAAAATGAGATATTTTAAAGAGATTATGAATCTATCAATGATTTCATTAAAAAAATGTGTTATAGAAAAGACCATGAAACTGATCGAGTGAAGGACATTAAGAAGGAAGTTTTTTCCCCTGTTCTTTTTTAATCACCTCTGAAATACTGTTACCATGTAAGATGTAAGTCATATGTTTGCTTTTATAAACCAATTTATTTTAGTAGTCTAATTTAACTATTAACATAAAAGGAAAATGTCTGTGTAGACCTCAAAGCTAAACAGGAAAATTGCTCTGTAATGACAGAATAAGGTAGAACTTAACATTAGCTGAAAATACCTCTAAGCTACAGTATGTCTTTCTAGGAAGTACAGGATGGGTTGTATTTAGAGGAGATACATACTAAAAATAGATTGAACCCATCCAAATGGGGAAAAAATCCAACATAAAAATGGGGCCTTACTAAAGCATATTAAACTGCTGGATGTATTATTGCCTATTATAATGATGTCTTAGTATCCTTTTTCTTTAAGAGGAGGAGGGTATGGCTACTATAGGTCTTGAAGGAAAGATGTTTCTGTATTACGAAAATAGTCAGATGGTATATTGAAAGATTGAACACGATGAAAAAAAGAAAGCTGAGAGATGAGTTATCTCTGTAGTTATCAACAATAATGATCGTGTCTCCTTTCATTCGGCTTTTACCCTTTTTCTCTTAACCATTATTACTAAAACTCTGTCGTGTATTCCCATTTGTGTGACCTGCACCACTTTCAACTGCCATTGTCTTCTCACTGTTGAGCTTGTGTGTTCTTCCTCCCTGTTTGTTCACCAGCGATACCACTTAAAATAGCCATGCTGCTGTGTTTTCCTTTGTACTGGGACAGCTTGTAGTGTTTGCAAGTTCTTCTGGTTTAGCTACTGTAAGTGAAATAAAAAGGCTATTCCGTGTTTTGTTATACACTAAGTATACCAAATATTCTACTTCCATTATTCACAATTCTCTAAAATTACCTTAAGCTTAGTCTAGTATTTGCAGTCCACCATTAAAATAATACCATGCTATTTCTTCTTCAGAGATGTACTTCAGTTAAAGAAATTAATGATTTTGAGAGTTAAGGATTTACAAGTCTCTTAATTATCATAGGGACACCACCCCACCCTTAACCTTTTTTTAATTTGAAACAGGATGGTTTCTTTTCTGGATACTGAAGCAATGGCTTATTGCTAGGATTATTGAAGAGCCTTTTAAATAAGCAACTCTCGGCATGTAGCTTCCTTAGATGTTTTTTGCATGATTCTGAAGTGTGAATTGAAATGAATGCGAGAACAGTAGCTTGAATCTGTATTTCAAAGTTTTTTTTGTGTTGTGCTTTACTTGAAAGGTTTCGTAATTAAGATCTGAAAGGCAATGTTTACATGATGAATTCTGAATTAAACAGTATTGAAATTTGCTTTTGCCTATGAAAAGTGAATTTGTATACTATTTTTTATCTTTATTTTAGAGCTTTTAAAAAGAAGCACAACAAAATACCCAACATGCCTGACAGACCAATGAAACCATGACATTTTCTGTGCTTTGTGCTTTTTTCTGCATAAGCTTATATTTTAATATTTTGAAAGAAAAAATATGACACAAAAGTAAGATTGATGTTAAAAATCTGTAAATATTCCCATTTGTCCTATATTGTTCTATTCAGTGTTTAAAATCTCCCATACTCTAAAGAAAAAGATGGAATTTTGGCTTTTGAAGCAAACTCTGAAATGAAGCAGGTAATTGCAAACGGGGATTTTGGGAATTTTGTTGTGCTTCTGCTTTCCACTGTGTGGAAAAGTTTTTTTTTTTTTCTGTGTTAGCTGTGACCTTGGACAAGTTGATTGAATCAACCGATTTGAAGGCTTAAGGGCAGAGTGGACACCGAACTTTGGTAATTCATCCCATCACTCATCTGCTTTTAAAAATCCCTGGATGTGACCTAGCAGCCTCGTAGATGTTCTTTGCCTACTGCTTCTCACGGCATGGGGCTCAACACATGGAGCTACTAGTGCACTTTGTACTGCTGTACAAGCAGCTATCATGGTTTCTCTGTTGAATTTAACAAAGAATTGAAATTCTTTGGTGGATTTCCTGGATATTTACTATGCATCTTTGGAAAAAGTGTCTTTTAGTAAGTTACAAAGTATTTCATGTTAAGTTGCACTTACCATTTATTTCCATTGCCTTATTTCTACATCTGTCTTGAGTCCCAATTGCTGTTGGCCTCTTACTCTCTTATTTATATTACTGACCCATTAAATGTTTTTTTCATTGCCATTTGATTTCCTTTTTCATTATCAGTGTAAGTCCAAAAAGATAATCTTTTAATATACTCAGGATGCAAAAACTGAGTTTCAGTGCTGTGAAGATATTGTGACGCTTTTCTTGATTCTTATTTTCATTGTAACATTTCTTAGTCCAAATTAAGCCACTGTGTGGAGATGTAACTTAAAACAGGAATGTTTTTATGAAATTAACAAATTTAATAACATCCAGCCTTTAAAGTAATTTTGATTATCCTTGTAGTTTTACTTCCTTACTCCTGTTTTCAAATTCTAGCATGATTTTACTGCTTATTCTCATTATATCTGAAGTAAATAATTTGTTTCACATACTTCAAAAGTGAGGACTGCAAGTCTATAAGCAATTTTGATAACATTTGATTTTTTTAAAAGCTTAAATGAAAGGAAAAACATCTTTGAATTTGAAATGAGGGTTCAAAGACTGATTTTTTTAATCTGGATCAAGTGTGTTCTCTAATATATATTCCTGGAAAAAGCTTATAACTCTAGCTTTTCTTCAGGCATAGTTACTTGATGGATATAGCAGTCAGACTGATGGATCAGCTTTCAATCCTGTATTGCATAATTTTATAAAAGCTGAAAACATTCAAATTAGGTCTAATCAGGTCTGAACTGATCACATCAAAGATATCTGGTCTAATATCTCACTCCTAACAGGTCAATAACAGCATAAAGGTGTAGGTATGAATTGGACAAGTAAATAACAATACTTCTACAACCCTGGCATGCTTTGCTAGGATCCATCAATTTGTATATTATGACCTTCCTCTCTATTTTTGCAGTTGTCACTTAAACATTACTTAGTTGAGAAAGACGACTCCTTAATGCTATTTGATTCTTTATGATAAAATTCCCTAGAATACTTGATATTCATTAGATACCATATCTGTGGTTTTCAAACAAAATAATAATTTTCTCTTACAATACGCGATCCACTGAAGAATCTTGTATACCTGTTGCGAAATTTAGACTTTCAGTCGGGAAGTTTATGGCACTTGACAAGACCTTAAAACTATCTTTGTTGTTGTTGTATTTTTGGTGGTTTTTGTTTTGGTTTGGTTTTGTTCATAGGGATGTATTCCATGGTAGTAATGCCAGATGGACTTGTGGCTGTTCGTTCCTAGATTTAAGTTAGAATGTGTAAAGCCAACATTTTGTTAATGAAAATTCCCTCTGAATTCAATGAATAAAATGTGGATGTTGACTCTTGGAATTAGATTACCATCATTGTCCTATTTGCCAGTTGCCACTTAATCTTTAAGTGCCTACTGTGTGATATGTTATAACTTTTTAACATTATTGAACTTCATTAGAACTGCTGTTTGTTCTTTTCTTATTTGGAATTTTTTTTAATGTAAATGTGGAGCTAATTAGGGTAATTAGTAATTCATACAAGTATATTTGTTTTGGGATGTATAGAAATTAAGTTTGGAAGAGTTCAATGGAAGTGTAAGAGTAACAGCTACTTCATGTAATGAATCATTAAATAAATGTGAATGATTTCATTTGTATGGAAAATTGATAGGGACAACTGATTTTATCTTGTCTCTTCAGTAAACAGCATGTGTAATTATTTTTACAAACATTTAATTTTGCATGTTGGGTTTTTTTTTTCCCCCCCCAGGATGGATTAGATGCTTTGGTATATGACTTGGATTTTCCTGCCTTAAGAAAAAACAAAAACATTGATAACTTCTTAAACAGGTGTAAGTATATAATGTTTCAGTTACTAAACAAAAGACTATAAATGCCAACAAAAATAAAAAATAAAAGCCGTTCTAGCTTTTTGAAAGGCAGCAAGGGATTTGGGTGCATTAATGTTTGCGTGCAAGTTGTTTTAAGAGTCTGATTATGTATTTCCCAGTGAGAACTGACAGCTACCTATCCAAATCTAATCCCCAGCAACTGAATGTCCAAGTTTGTTGCCACTGTAAATGGCACTGTTCTCAGTGGCACAAAGCCTTTTAAGAGAAAAGCCTGTCATCTTTGTTCTTGGCAACCCTCTGGATTCCTATAACTTACTTTGTAATTTCATGTACTAATGCATCATAAGCAATTAACAGTAAAATGACATAACATGTATACAGTGTCACGAAATCATATTAAAAATTTGTTCACTGACAAACTGTAGCATGTGTTTTGTAGACTTTTTTCTTTAGTATGATAGGTCTTTTTTCATTATCCCATGAAATTCTTAGACTGCATAGCTGCTGTATTTACTTGTGCATGCAGCTGATGTGTCTGCAGAATTCTTCTGTGTATTCTTCTCTTTTTCCACTACCAGATTTCCTGCACATTCTACTCTATAATAACATTTTAAATGAATGAAGTTGATGATTTTTGATAGAAGTCATAGTTCCATAATTAAAAAAACAAAACCAAAAGTTAATAAACCCAAAAAGGCATTTAAGAGTTAAGTCTTTTGTAAAGGCTGCCAAACTGACAAATTCTAGAAATCATGGCAGAGACCTTTGCTGATTTGAGACTTGCTTCTGCCTGTGGACTGAATGGGCAAGCCTTGAAATTAAACTAATGTTGTTAGATTTTTACAGGCTTAAGTGTCTCAATTAAATGTAATAACTGGCTTTTGTGGCAAATATGAAGTAATTTGGCCAAAATAATTTGTCTCATTGAAATTTATGTTTTTCTTTCTGTTTCCAAGGTGTTTTCCAATAGTTGGTGCAACTGTAAGCAATGATGGTGACTTTGTGGGTTTTACTTCATATTATTCCCCATTTGTGGGAATATGTGAGTCCACTAGATATAGTTGATGGCTCACTTGCCTGTAAGCTGGTTGCTGAAAGGCCCAAGTTCAAATGTTCTGTTTAACTTTTCACACTATATTTGATATTGTACAGTGTGTTACATGCACATTTTATATACTCAGTTATTTACAAAGAAGGTGTGGTGAAACTCTGGGAGAAAAGAGAAGCTGTGTTAGGCAAAGGAAATACTCATTGCAACAGATAATTTGAATGTAATTTTTATGAATAATGAAATCATTAGTGAATCTTAGAGCTTCACTTTTGCAGTTGGGGCCGAGTGAAGGAAAAGAAAACTTACATTTGCCATCTGATGATGAGTATCTTGTAGATATAAATTAAATACTGTGTGAGATGTGACCTGAAGTAATATGAAGGTGGAGAACAGACCATATTATTTCACTTCAAACTGCCTTTAGAGCACTAATCTTGCTATGTTTGCTGAAATATGAAAGCAAGCTGTGGATGTATGAGTAGTGGCCTTAGAGGGAACTGAGAAATCTAGTTTGTCTTGAATTTCTATTTTAAAAATATAAAATAGACATATAGGAACATTTTCATGTTTATTTTAGTTCTAATAGATAACTGTTTAAAATATTTTTTGCAGTATTATCTGTCCAAACAGTTTGCAGCATTATTTGAAATGGATGTCTAGTTTGCAAATAAAATGAGAGTTTGCGTCCTTTGTTTTATAGACTGATTGCCCTATGAGCCAGTGCTTATCCCCTCTTTTCTGTGATTTACATTGTGTATTTGTGGAGCCTCCAAAATGTGCTTCTACCGCCTAAGGTTGTGAGGGTTACTTTTGCAAATGTAGAACCTTACTAATTTTCTACTATACAGAATTAAAAGAATAAAGAAATCAATATGCAAGATGATTGAGAGCCCTACTTTGCAGCAGGGACTCAGTTTATTTCAAGACAGCATCTAAGCTTATAATCAAACTTCAGGGCAAGTTGGAGAATGCGATCCTTTGCCATGTGAGCTACCGCACCTGTTTGTACAGTATAAGTTGGCCGGGTCCTCCACTGCTAGTGGGAGATAAGGAGATGCCTATTTAAATATGTTGCAGCCGTGTTTAACAGATCTTAGCCTACAGAGGTCAAATTTCCAATGCTGCTGTTACTGTAACATATTGTCTGACCATAGTTGAGTGTTAGTATGTCACTCAAGCAATAAATTACAATTTGCAACTGCTCACAAGCCTGGTTTACATTATTTAAAAATATTTAGTTGAGATGGCTCTTCAGATGTATTTTCCTTCTGTTTTGGCCATAGGCGAGGCTTGTGATTGAAGACCATTTAAAGCATTCGCATTGTGCCTAGATTTCTTTTGCACCAATGTCAGAATTTTTCATTCCAATGTCAAGATTTTTCATTCAGAGGCCCTGGACCTCCTGTTGTGAGATTACTAGGCAGTAAGTTAACAATAACTTGAAAATTGTTGTCATGAGAATTGCTGCATTTTAGTTTCATGCAGTCTTACTCATCTTCCAGTATGGGTCAATTTTCACCAGGGCAAATAAGGCAATGCATTATTTTTTTAATTTATTGAATATTTTGATCCTTGTGTGAAATAATTTGTCAGAGTTTACAATTTTAATGTAATTTATTGAAATCAGCTAGTGGTATGTTGCGTAAAGGGATGACTTTGCATTAAACAGTAACACCACAGAGTGCTTATTCAAACAAAGCTATGTTTGTTCCTTTTGTGGTAATAAAATCTTATTGAATTTTAATTGTATATATGCTCCTTTTGTTTTAGATCATGGCTGGTGTAGGTAGAAATCGAATGTTAATTTTCTGTTGTTTGCTAATCATTTTTTAAAAATATGAACTTAAAAAATGACATTTGCTCTTCCTCTCTCTTCCCCTGTCCTTACTTCTTTCTAAACTTGGCTTTTAGGCCTAGAATATTATTTTTGAAACTAAAATATGGTTGCATAATTTATTTTATTAGAAGTGTATCTGTTTTAGTAGATGTTCCTTGCTTTTAGAAATACTGAAGCATGAAGCTTTTCCATGTAATCTCATGCCAGTGTTGACCCACATGGATTAAAATAGACTGTTTTAATCTTTGACCAAATTTGGAATTAGAATATCTGCCCACTGGGAGTTTGTAAATTATTGTAGTTTATAGAATGACAGGTTTATATAAATAATTGCAATGATTCCCACTGCATGCTTGAAATTAAAAACTATTTTTTTCAGTATTAGAAATAATAAAAGTGCAGAAAAGTGGAAGCTTTTTTTTTTTTAAATAGTTTCTTACGTGTACTTTACGGTATTTCCTCAGATGTGTTGCATATTTATCCAGAAATAATCTTTTTATACTGACCAGCTTAAGCAAAATCATGCTGGATGTGAGGTTTTTTTGCATGGGGTTTTTTTTGCAGGTGATTATTTTAAAAGAAATTCCCAAATTAAGATCTCCAGTAATTTGATTGTACAGTAGAGTCATTGAAATTATGTTTATATCAGGTTTTGGTTAGTATGGTAATGAGAATGAGGTCATGCATTCTGCAGAGAGGTTTCCAATAGGAAGGTAGGTTCAGAAGGAAGTCCTCTCTTTAAGCAGCACATCTTCTAATAACTATGAAACATTGAAATGAGATGAATGAGTTTAATTAAATTGATTATATATGAAATGTGAATTTTCTTTTATGTAGATAAAGACACAGTAAATAAAATGAGAGATCTGCGCATGAAAGCTGAAGATTATGAAGTGGTGAAGGTGATTGGTAGAGGCGCATTTGGGGAGGTTCAGTTGGTAAGTTATGTTTCTATTTGTACATTTGAATGTATTCTGTAGTATTTGCTCATGCATCTATTTCTGAATACAGTGTTCAAAAGATAGTCTTATAATATTATAGCCTTCAGCTCAGTGAAATTTTCTTTCTTTTTATCCCATGGAAATTTTTTTGAGAATCTCATCTTCAGTACTCTCAAAGTGCACAAATACTTGTTTTGTATTGCAATCATGCCTCTCTCTATTAAAATAAAATAGAATGTGTATTCCTCATAATCAAGAAAATTAGCCTTTGCCACTGTATACATGGGCACTTGAACAAATCTTCAGAACTAGAAGAGTTTCTGCCAGTTCAGGGACTACACCAGATTTTTGTGGATATAGTTCTCACAAACGAGAGATGTGTGTTGTTTGTGGTAGAATAGCTACTGGGCTTGTTCATCCTGCTTTACTGAATTGAGAATTGGTGTGAGAAACTGGAAATGTGGTAGCAAGTATACATGTCTGCTAATGAACTCTGGAAAATGCTTGCAGTTTTAACTTTATAGTATTTAACAGGTGCTAATATTTGTCCTTTTAAAGATACATACCTACAAATTACAAAGTGACTGTGATGCCTATGGACTTCTGTCTTGAATAGTTCTAGCAAGTATTTTAAGAGCAATGTGTATATTGTCAGATGATGGACTATAATTATTCTGTAGACCTACAGTATGTAATTCTTTATAAAAATGTGAAGAGTCTTATAAACTTGTTAAACAGTGAAGCAGGAAAAGTAATAAATTCAGTGGTGTTCTTCATATGTTAATGTGGCAAACAAATGTGTTCTGTATGTCACGTTTGTCTTCATAGGTAAGACATAAATCCTCAAGGAGAGTGTATGCTATGAAGCTTCTGAGCAAATTTGAGATGATAAAAAGATCGGATTCTGCATTCTTCTGGGAAGAAAGGGATATTATGGCTTTTGCTAACAGTCCTTGGGTTGTCCAGGTATAGCGATATTCTTTTTAAAATACTGTCATTACGGAATAGTTCTGTTACAACACTGCATGACTTGGAATTATGTTTTCATTTTTAGCTTTTCAAAGTCCCTTTTTGGCTGTATTGGTCTGTTAGGGAAATACATTATTAACATACAGGATAGCAGATACTGCACTTGCTTCAAAACTGTGTTTTGTCATAACATTTACATGGTAAAGTATTCTGTTTATTATTAAAACTCTTTGCCACATATATAGGTGAGCCTGCTTTGTAGTAATTCTTTGAGGTATCCAGCATACCATAAAGAAATACTTAAGACACAGCTTCTGTATATTCTAATTTTTGTGTGTGTATTTGACTGCAAATACACCCGCTCTGGTGATTTTTTTTTTTCCTCATTTCAGTGTTATCACTGACAATTTTTTGTGAGGCATTGCTGCCTTTGAAGTTTATAAGGAGCACGCCTGACGCAATTGTCATGCATTGTGTTGGCTATAAGCTCTTCCGTAGGGATAGGCAA